GTGCAATACGCATGAAATACGGTCTTGGAGGAGTTATGCGTTATAGATGAGCATGAAGTTGTTCTAACTAAGAAAATGATGCGGGTGATGCTTCTGCCGGCACTACATGCACCGAAACAGCATTCTGACATGATTTGTTTAAATATCACTTAGGCAAACTAGGAAAGAGTAGCCAAAGACAGGTCAGAACGCCATGAAATCTTGTACACTGGCTACATGCTAATCAACAAAAGGTAAAAAATGCCATGAGACATTATAGGTGAGCAGCAAGGTATTGATCTAGACTATCAAGTAATGAAATATCTCAATTGTTCTAGTCTTATTCTGCATTTTTGCATTGCCAGTTTTCAAACCAATTGAACATCATCAATCTAGTATCATTCCTAACTAACTGTTCAATCTTCGGAGTGGCGCAGTGACGCTGTGCATAAGAGGTGCGGAATTCGACTTCGAAGGATGACAGTCTTATTCTTAACAACGAATTCCGACCAACGAGCAAGGAATTTCCCACACACTGCATCAGAGCAGGGTGATCAGTTGATAGAGCCTCGGACTCAGAACCAAGGGACACCGGATTTGAACCCCGGTCGAGGTCACTCGCCTTTCTTCCTTCCGAAGTTGATAAATGAGTACTGCTCTGTGGGAAGGAAACAGAACACTACACGTTAGTCACGTAGCTGGTGTCAACTCCGCCTTGAAAAGGACACTCCAAGCTGATGACGTAGAAACGAAGATAAGCACTCCACCATTAATTTCATAAGGAATGAAAGGGTACCAGAAATGGCATCGTCATGAAAGGAAGTCCATTTTATCGATCACCAATTTTCTTTTATTCTCCTACCTCATCATTACGCAAGGAATCATTATTCGCTTTTATAGAATAAGCGCGAGATAATACCAATTCAACACTCTTACTTCGCTGACTAACATCGAAACGATTTCCAAATTACCAACCCAAATCGTCGTCAGAGTGCTTTCTCCTGAAATGAACTGGGAGAAAATCTTTCAAGGGTTGCCTGGTCTTTGCTGCGTTCTGAGGCTAGCGACGCCAGACTTAGCCAGTGCACCTTAGCGAACCAAGAGCTTAACGACTGTGGCAAGAATGTCCTGAGCATTCGCCACGGAAACAAGCCACGAACTTGTGGAATTAAGTTCCGGCAGAGAACGAGAGAAATAACATGGAGGTGATCCGAAAATGGCAGTAAGCTTTTCTGAGTAAATGAATGTCCGATGGTTTGACTTCACCCTTCTCTCATATAGCTACATTTCGTGTAATCCATACACGAACAGAATGCAAATTGTCCCAAAGGATTGAAAGGAAAGCTTGACTGCATTTCAAGCCATTTGATCAAAATGGTCACAATTTACACTTTCATTCGAAATGTTAAATTTCAGTCAGTATCATTCCATTCCAATGCTATGTCCGACTGGATGCCTTCCATAGATTGTGAGGTACATCGCGAAATCAAATAAACAGAAAATCAGTTTCCTTAAAGCTTCTGAAACTAAACTCCATCTCTTCCTCAATTGTCAGTCGTATCTCTCATAACTGAATGGTTAGCAGTTAAGCAAAAATTGAACTAATCTACCCGGGTCAAGCTCCACACTCATGTTCAGGTGGTCGAGACGATAACTTCCTAGTTTCGAGTGATAGGCAGAACCCTTCTAAGCGTGCCTAGTTGGAAATGTTTGATTGCAAGGCCTACTCTGTAATGTCCAGGACGGATGAGGCTGGTTTTGATAAACCCGTAATCTTTTCGTCTATTCAAAAATTTGTAAACATTCTTCCATGTATTTCTGTTATGCGCTGAGCTTTCTTGTCGCTGTCTGCCTGCTTGCCGTCCGGGGATGCATTACATCTCACAATGGACGCGTAATAAGCATACAGAACATTGAGAAATCTAACTTTCTCAAACTTAATCAATATAATCATTACGGCTAGTCAATTAATAGTTAATTAAAGTGATAAAGAAGATGGAGATGAAGCCAGGCAACAGACTGCGCTCGCGATCATAAAAAGTAGAACAAGGAATATTTTGCTGTTGAATAAATTCTCTGAAAATCCACGACAGGACAATGCCACTTCTCCTTGAAGACCATTAGTTTACACAGTAACCTGCGCATTGCCAGCATATAATCGATTATATTCATATTCATTTGTTATGCGGAAATCACCCTGTGATGCAAAGAACCTGTAGGTTGCACTGCTTAAGCATAGATTTACGAATGCCATGTGATAAGTACATAGCATAACTGTGCGCTATTATATGCCTGCATTATTTAGTTCAGTTAACAGAACTTCAAAATAACAAACATGAGGAAGAGGCCAGTAGTATAATGAGGTTCAGATTATATTTACCGAGCAGTAATGTACTTGCATATTATAAAACTTTCACCAGTTGGCACAGCTAGAAGTAAAGCTATAAAAAAAAATTTGACAGCAATCATTTGCGAGCCTTTAGGTCAGAAAAAAAGTCTCTTGGTTCCTTGACTCAGCACAGAACCTTCAAGAAACGAGTTAACAGCATACCTTCGAAAACTTATTTGTTCTAACAGACCATTCTACATTGCCACAACAACGATATAACAAATGAAAAAATCAATCATTACTTTGTGTGAGTAAATTTAATCTCATTTCTATATACAAATCGCCTAATAACACCACAAGCAAATCCGCACTGAATTACCACCACTAATTCAGTCACTAAAAGCATCGGAATGACATGCGTGACAGATGAGACGCTATCAGCGACTTTCGCGTAATTCACCGTATACAACGTTAAAAGCTGAATTTGGAGAGCTCTCTGACGGCCGATCCTAAGAATCTGGGCATTTCCATTATTGAAGATTCGATTTATAAGACGGAATATTCATCAACCTGTTGATTCACTAGGCCATTCTCTGTTGTATAATCGAATACAGAAGAGATTGGGACACTTCATTTCAGCATTTGTATGCATATCTGCGGCGTCATATTAACATGAAGCCAATCGAAGAATGTTTACGTAGAAGAATCGATCACTGATTTGCAAGTTTGCAGCAGATTCCGATCAAGGACTACTGCTCCTTCAATGAT